GCATCATTATTGGTTATTGTGAAGGAGGAGACATGTGAGTGACTTTTCTGGCTAAAACTGCAGTACTTGGCTTAATCCATTTACTTGGGCTGAAACTTTACATGCAATCTATATGATGTCATCTTTTTTGCTACTTTGTCTTTTACAGGGCAGAACCTATAAAGAAAGCAAATGGTGTTCTTTTTTCCGATGAGGTTGTTTTATATTTCTAGTATCTTAGCATCACATTTATATTGTTTCGTTTTCTTTTCTGTTGTCGCAATCTAGATTGTACTGCATTCTACCTCCCACCTCTGCAGTTTTCAATTTGTATCAGCTCACAATTTCTTTGTTCACTGATACATTGATGTTAAATTGTTTATAGAAGCTGTGTAAATAGCTTGTTCAATTGCTTATAGCTTGTTCAATTGTTTTCTTTCTTTAATAGTCTTGAGAGGTGTCAGTATTTTGCTGAATCACCATTGATTAATCCTGTTGCAGGTGATTTTGGACTTGCTAAGATGTTGCCATCAGATGATCTTGCATCCTCTGTAAGTCTTGTGGTTAACTGGTTCATTTTTCAAGTTTCAACATTTGCATTAGTTTTATTGTTCAAGATTTCTTTTTCGTAACTCAGGTTGTAGGAACTCCAAGTTATATGTGCCCTGAGCTTCTTGCTGACATACCTTATGGCTCTAAGTCAGACATTTGGTCCTTGGGTAAGTGTATACACAAATGTCACATAAATACATATATAAGTTATAATGCAATCATGAATGCAAGTTGCAACTTGGCATATTTTTGATGCCTATGAAAATTTAGATTTTTCCTCGTGAGGAATTGTGTTCTTATTTGTATATTGTGGCCTTTAATTAGTGTCTTAATCTAATCCTTGCTCTATTTTTGTTTTCCAGTCAGGCCCTCATCAAAAGCATGCTGCGGAGAAAACCCAGAACTTCGGCCGAGTTTATTTCCTGTTCTTTATTCTTTTTTTAACACTTTCCGAAAATGTTTTACGTAGGAGAAACATTAATATAAGCATGCGAATGATTTGCCATTGCCTTAGATAATCTAAATGATTCCTAATTCATTAATTAGGACTCAGCTAGTTGTGGTTGTTCTAGCTAATATATTGCCATTCATAGTCATCGGCATAAGCCTTTTCTAGTAAGTTTCTCTAATAATTTTAAATCCCTGTAATGTATCTTCCAAAATTCGAAGCCAAGACATTTTTAAGGTACTTATTGGTTTTATGTTTCAATTGGATTTAACTTTTGTGGCTTTGTATATAAGGTAGTAATTTTTTAATTGAGAATTGTGAATTCAATTTTTGGATATGTTATTTTGTGGAAAAATTAATGCTATATTAAATTGAATCGGAAAGTGAATTAATACTATATTTGTTATTTGAATGGGAGTTATTATTTCATATTAGTGTTATTTAGTTTTATTATTGGTGTTCTTTTAGTTCAATCACATAAAATTAGCACAATTTCAAAACCAAAAAAAAAAAAAGAAAGATAAGACGGCGTTTTTCAAATGCCACTATAACGGTTGGAATTTTTAAAATTAAAAAAACCTATGAAGGCGTTTTAAAAACGTCGCTAAAAGCATACTGACGTCACAGTATTGTTAGGGCAGGGCATTTGGCGGCGTTTTTAAAAACGCCGCCTATACTAATACAGCGACGTTTTCCAAACGCCATAAAGTTATAGCGACGGCCGGTTGAGGCCGCCAACAAGAACATCAAGCATATACTGCAAAAGATGGTGGAAACCTACCGGGATTGGCCAGATAAGCTGCCATTTGCTCTGTGGGGCTACAGGACTTCAATTAGAACTTCTACCGGAGCGACTCCATATTCATTGGTTTATGGGATGGAGGCCGTTCTGCCTATCGAGATTGAGGTTCCATCATTGCGAGTGTTGGCTGAGTGTCAAATAGCCGAAGCCGATTGGTAGCAGAGCAGGTTTCAGGAACTCATGCTCTTTGATGAGAGAAGACTGAAAACACTGTACCATGTTCAAGGCTATCAGCGCAGAATTGCCCGGGCTTTCAACAAGAAAGTTAAGTCCAGGAATCTAAAGGAAGGAGATTTGGTGCTCAAGGACAACCGAGCTCCCATCCACGACCCAAGCGGCAAGTTCAGACCTAATTGGACTGGTCCCTACATCATCAAGTCTATCTGGTCAGGTGGAGCTGTGGTTCTGATGGACATAGATGGCCTAGAATTTTCACAACCGATCAACATGGACAAGTTGAAGAAATATTATCCCTGAGAGGCTCGCTAGGCCGAAAACCCGAAAGGACGACCTAGGCAAAAGTTAGAGCATAAAAAATTGGAAAAATATAAAAACTGAGCTCGCAAGGTTGAAAACCCGCAAAGGGCGGTCTTGGTAAAAGTTAGAGCGTAAAAGGAGAGTGAAAATACTCAAGTGAACCGAAGCCTGAACTACGTAAGGCTTGATTCCCATCTTCGGGATACGTAGGCAACTTCATCCTGAAGTTCAACCATAACCTTTTCCTCGATCAACTCTGTCCATTTGAGCATCTCAGTCATCTTTGTCTATCAGCATTTAAGGGCTTCGATTGTAATCTCCGGTGCAGTGCTATTCAGACTAGGGGCAACTTTCCGTTGCCATGCAGTACCGCGGTACTCTTCAGACTAGGGGCAACTTTCTAGTTGCAGGGATCTGGGGTTGTGCATCTCAGTGATAGATCTCAAGCGTGTCCAGTTCTTATCCATATCGAAAATGGTTTTGAAAAGTTTTAATAAAAGTTGACTTTGTCCAATTAATCTTCTTACAACTAAGATCATTTTTGGACCGAAGCGGAAAATTTTCAGTACCACAACCTTCAATTTCATTGATTTCAAAACAGAGTTCTCCTACTCTTGCATACAATCGAAGTTGCTTTTTATTACATTCATAAAGAAAAACTTGAAAGTACTAATAAAGCAATAAATCTGGGGCATAGTCAAGTCAGGTGTTCCTACGCCCCCTCCCAGAGCTGGTCGAAGCCTCTGATGCCAAGCTGGACCCAATCTGTGCCTCTTCATTGAGCCAATCCAAGCACTCATCAGACAAAGTATAACTGAAAGTGGGAGCGGGGGCCAGGAGTTCTCTCGTCCTCCATGCTGTGGCATATTGGGCAAGCTGTGCACCTCGAACTGGGAAGGCAGTCGGATACTCTATCCCCTCTGGCGAGCAAGTCTGATCATGACCGAACTGGCGTTGGAATCGGAACAGAAAGTAGAATACACAGTGAGTCAGACCAACCAACTGGATCCCGGTCTGTCGGAACATGCTATAGCTCATTGCCGGGAGATTGAGCCAAGGGCAGTGCCAGGCGATGCGATCTGCAGACAAATTGCACATCCAGTTGAACCACCATCCCTCATCAAGGGCATAAACTAGGCGTTGTCGGAAGAAGTAGCCGCGAGCTGAGTAGGCTGGGCAAGAGTGCACAACCTGCAATTTATCCATCAACCATACCTGGAGAGGGATGAAAAATGAGAGAATAAAGAATAGAGAGATGTACGATGAGAGAAAAGTAAAGCAAGGGTTTTGTGAGAAAAACCGAGCCTGAGGGCTGAGTGATGTGAGCAATACATATATGAGATTGGGTGGGAAACATTACCTACAACAGTAGTGGACTCCCCGCAAATCTGGTCGTCTCCCGGCGATGGAAAGCATCCAAGCCCATCAGCGTCTCAGCCAGTGACATCGCAATACAACTCTTTTCATCCTTCAAGCCTTGAGCAACTTCAATCAGGCGAATGCTAGATCCACCAAAGCCCGACGCAAGCAGAAAGTGAGATAGCAAGCACAAGCAAAGGGCATGTTGTCGGAAACTTTGCCAATGATGGTCGCCACGGTCACCGGCGTCAGAAAAGCGATAAATCAATCCGAGGATGTCCAGTTCCCCATTACAGATCAGAGACCGAGCGTCATGCGTGGTGAGTCCACACATCCGCCCTAAAGCTTGGGCGTGACCAAAGCGAAACTGAGGCAAGATCTCTTCATAACTTTCAGATTCTATCAAAGCTTGAAAATCTTTGAAAGTTGGACATACCTCTTGCCCGCCGAAACTAAAGACATGTGTTACCGGGTTCCAAAACCTTGCCACGGCATGAAGGAAGGGAAGGTGTGGCGGAGTACGACTCAGCGTGAATAGTGCATTCAAGCCGAAGCCCCGGAAGTTCAACTTTTTCGAGCCGTCTAAAGAAGCGATCCAAGCTATGAGATTTTTGACGAGAAACACCTCCATTTTGGTGCAAAACTGAGATGAAATGAATCAACCACGGAGCTAGGTCTTTTAAAGGGGATAAGGCACTGTTCGGAGGGACACGTGTCGAAAAACTGGTGGTGCCTGAGCAAAGTGGCCGGCCGGCCACCTTTTCTAGTTGGTCGGCCACCCCCTCCCCTCTAAGGCAAAAAGCTGGTCAGCCGGCCCCCAAAGGTGGCCGACCATGCTGCAATCTGTGTATTTGGTCCTGTTCTACCCTTTGGAAGAAACTCCCTAGCATTTCCATGCATCGAGAGTGTCGAAGGCCTCCATTTCCCTCTATTTCGGATGCGTTCCGTCACCCAGATCGTCCGAAATGTACTTTGTTTATAGAATTGGTGTTTAGTCTTGCTTATCGAGTTGTTGTTTTGTTGGTCGAGCTGTTTCGTTTACCGAGTCTTGTTTAATCGAGTCACCGAGTTTTGTCCGTTTGAGTTGTTACTCTTTGTTTATCAATTTTGTTGTGTTTTGCTAATCGAGTTGAAAACTTGCTGAGGTTTTTGTTGTTTCTTAGTAAGTTAGGTTGTTTAGTTTGTCGTGTCGGTTCGCTACCTGACTTGGCAAGTACACAATGCACATTTACCGTTTAATCTCATTATTTGCAAAATGATGCGATGCAATGCTGAGAACATAAAGTACAACACTTTTTCAAAAAGCTGTTTCATTCCATCATGCTTCCTTTGTTACAACATTTTACAACAAAGGTACAAGTTTCACAGAAAATAAAACTGCCTAATAATGTACAATGTGCTACAACTACTAGTAAAACGGTAAATAAAGCAAGAAACAGCTGCGCCAATGCTCTCAAGAGCAGGAATAAGAGGCCCTCTTTGTCCTCTTCTGCGGAATAGGCTCTGCACCACCGACACCATCTGAGTCGGAACTGTCATCCTCGGGATCCTCCTCAGCCTCCTCTCCACTCCCGGAACCAGGGTCGGAACCCTCCTCTCTGTCAGTAGATGTCTCTGACTGACGATCTGCAGCCTCCTCCTCCTCTTCGTCCTCACCGGGCTCCTCCTCTACAATATGTGCTTTGCATCTGCGGGACGACTCCCCTCTCCCGGTCCCGCGAGAAGGCTGAGATGGCCCGGCTCCCCGAGAAGGTCGAGATGGTCCGGCTCCCCAAGAAAGTCGAGATGGCCCGGCTCCCCGAGAAGGCCTGGATGGCCCGGTCTGTGGCTGATATACTGGAGGCATCTAAAAATAAAAAAGTGCAGTTTGAATACATCAGCTCAAATGTGTGTATCAAATACAGATGCGAGCAAACTACATGAAATGAGGGTGCATGCAGATACAGTATATGAATGTGGTGTGTGTTAGATGTGCTCTACACAGGCAAGCTACCAATGCAGTGAAATGATCAAGTTCAGCATGTCATCGGGAGTATGATAAATGCTAGAAAATTAAAGAGTACCTGGACACCCATGATGGACAACTGTGCCTCTCTCCGTAAGACCATGCCCTCGAGTGCGGCCATCATCCCGAGCATCTCATCCATATACTCGATAGGAGGCTGCAGATACAAATGCAAAATATCAGTAAAGGAATGAATGTCCAAGTATCTGAGTGATAAATTAAAGCTATAAAGCATACCGGCGGCGAATCGGGATCTCTGACATATCTGTCGTCAGACATGGGAGGCTCTATCGGAATCGAGTAGGGAGTCCCGAATTGCTATCCCGTTAGCTCGGTCATCATGTCTAGCCACCGAGGATGATGATGAGTCGGAGGAATCGGGGGAACCAATCCACCCCCACATCTGGATGTACCAGCCCTGCTAGTGGAAGGGACGTCCGCAGCCCGAGCCCGGCTCGATGGGGGCATACCAGCGGGTCTCCTCGTCGGGGTATGGACTCCCGTCAATGAAGGCATCAAGTATGTGTGATGATAAGTCGCATACACTCCCTGCTCCAGATGAAGAAATGCATCAGTACCCAACCTGGCGTTGACAACACCCTGGGGAGGGAGCCTACCAGCGGTCCGCATGTCGTCTGGGGGTACTGAGGGAATGTCCTGAGCGGGGTAGCCCAATGTCTGGCGCAGGAACCGCTCCCCTAAAAACCAAGCCCTGCCAACCGGCCCCTCTAACAGGATCCAGTACCGAGAGGCACCCCAGGCTCCGGCAAACTGGAATTGGAGGTCACTACCTAAAGGCGCCCAAGGCTGCCATGTGATCTGTGGATAACCAATGCATAAGCTGATCAGAAATTGTAAATGCGCAAGATTGGAAACTTGAAAAACTGAGAGTTCTACAATACCTCTGATGGCCATACTGTGTCAAAGTACTGCCGTAGATAAAGAAGAGACTCCCGAGGTCTCGGCCGGTACGGGCCCTCAAATACCAGCGAGTAAGGGGTCATGGGAGGCATCGCCACCTCGAGCTCCGGGGCTAGTGTCGGGAAGTACGCATAGATCCATAGCTGTGGAAAACAGGGCAGTAGCCATCAGAATACAGAATGTTGAGTGCAAATTGTAAACACAGCATGCTGAGGGTAGAGTACAGAGGTACAAAATGTAAAGTGTACCGTGTGTGCAGTGTACAGAGAATGAAAGAAGAAATGTAAATCAAAGGGGGTAGAAAGTACCTCCCAGGCTCTCCAATAACCGCCAAGTATGTTCCCCCGTTCGCGGGAGGTCGCGCTCATATAGCAATAAAGAGTGGCCAGGCTGGCGCCACCCCAATCATACCGCTGGACTTGTGATAGGTCCACTAGGGCACTCAACAGATAAAGTCTGACAGTGTTCCCCCTATCGGCAAACAGAGTAGTCCCGAAGAGGAACATCAAAAATCTGCGGGCATACTGGGCTACCTCCTCAGGAGTCTCAGGCTCTATCTCCACCCTCCGGAAATATGAGGAAAACCAAGTATATCGGACCCTGCCCGAAGATCTGTCAACTGGCGGGTGAGCTCCCAACAAGTAGATCCAGGCGGCCTCCCACTGGCCCATGTCCTCATCATATAGGATCGCCCAGCCTCCCACATCAAGGCCGGTCAATACGGCGAAGTCAAATGGGGTCATAGTCATGTCCCCAGTGGCAGAGAAATGAAAGGAGTTGGTGGTGTCTTACCATCTCTCCACTAAAGCACCTATCAGTGTCCTACTAGCCAGACAATGAGATATCCCGAAGCAGAAGGGCCCAAACCCTGCCAAGTCAACCAAATCCCGGACAGCCTTTGGAAGCTCCGTATACCACTCTCTAGCCACAACAGAACCATATCCTCGTGCTATACGGGAGGTCACCTGTATTCAGAATGAATACATACATTCAGTCTCAAAATGAAATAAATGAGTTGTGTGCAAATGAAATGTATGAGCTGTGTGCAATCTAAAACAGATACAATGCAATGAGCTGCGTGCAAATCGAATATTTGGGCTGTGTGCTCAGATTTCAAAATCAGTGGGCTGCGTGTTCATCTCAAAGATCGAGCTGTGTGTTCAACATCCGGTGTTTGGGCTGTGTGCTCAGATTTCAAAATTAGTGGGCTACGTGTTCATCTCAAAGATCGAGCTGTGTGTTCAACATCAGGTGTTTGGGCTGTGTGCTCAGATTTCAAAATCAGTGGGCTGAGTGTTCATCTCAACGTTCGGGCTGCGTGTTCGACGTCAAGTGTTTGGGCTGTGTGTTCAAATTTCATCAAGTGTGTGCTGCGTGTTCATCTCAACGTTCGGGCTGCGTGTTCGACGTCAAGTGTTTGGGCTATGTGTTCAAATTTCAACAAGTGTGTGATGCGTGTTCACCCTCAGTTCGGGCTGCGTGTTCGACGTCAAGTGTTTGGGCTGTGTGTTCAAATTTCAACAAGTGTGTGTTGCATGTTCACCCTCAACTCGGGCTGCGTGTTCGACGTCAAGTGTTTGGGCTGTGTGTTCTACTCTCAACAAGTGTGTGCTGCGTGTTCACCTTCAACTTGGGCTGCGTGTTCAGAAATTTAGAGTTTGGGCTATGTGTTATACTCTCAACAAGTGTGTGCTGCGTGTTCACCTTCAACTTGGGTTGCGTGTTCAGAAATTCAGAGTTTGGGCTGTGTGTTCACCTTCAACTTGGGCTGCATGTTCAGAAATTTAGAGTTTGGGCTGTGTGTTCTACACTCAACAAGTGTGTGTTGCGTGTTCACCTTCAACTTGGGCTGCGTGTTTAGAAATTCAGAGTTTGGGCTGTGTGTTCTACTCTCAACAAGTGTGTGCTGCGTGTTCACCTTCAGCTGGGCTGTGTGTTTGGAAATTTGAAGTTTGGGCTGAGTGTTCAACTGTCAACATATATGTGTGCTGTGTGTTCAACATCAGGTTATGGGCTACGTGATCAAAAATTCAAGTGTTCAAAATGCAAACAGAATGCTGTATCATGGGCTAAGCGTCAAAACAAGCTACGTGCTAAAAAGAGCAGATATGTATAGCAAGAGGCATGAAACGTACAAAAATGCGGAATACATTGCAGAAATGTAAAAAAGGGCGAAGTAAATACCTCTCGTGCGTCATGAGAGAGGTGAGACTCCGGCTATCGCAAAAGCAGATCCCCAGGCGCTCGATCATCAAAATCAGTGAAGTGATAGAAAATAGCCCGCAGAAGGATATATGCCCGAGGGACGTACCTCTCGAGTATGAAGGGTCGAACCCTCAGAGGCAGAGCCATGATATCGGGATCATCCCCGGCACCTGGAGGACCTCCACCGTGAGGAAAATGACCGGCCATTTCAGAAAATCTGCAAAAAGGAGCAAAAATGAGCAAAATGAGCCAAAATTAGAAAAAGTCAACAAAGGTCAACTCTCGGGAAATGAAAAAGTCAACAAAAGTCAACCCCCGAGGAAATCTTCCAAATGTTGAGAAAAACTTACCTCAAGTGGTGAAAATGAGAAAAGAAGCATCGAAATCAAAATTTAATCGGTCTAAAGTGACGAAAACTGAAAGATTTCGCGAAAACAACTTGCGTGGGGCGTTGGAAAACGCGTATAGAGCTCAGATCTGAAGAGGAAAATGGTCTACGAAGGTAGAGAAGGAGTTTTCGGAGCTGGAGTTATGAGGAAAAATGCTTTGGCCGAATGGATTTAAAGAAAAGAGAGTGAAAGTACCAAAATGCCCACAGTTTGGGAAAAGTGGCCGGCCAGCCACCTTTTCGAGCAGGCCAGCCACCCCTCTCCCTCAACCCTGGCCGGTGGCCTCTCCTTGGGAAGAGAGCTGGCCGGTGGTGTTCCCCAGGTGCCCACCAAGCTCTCTGCAAATTTTGGGGAGGATTGGAGTCCCCGGGACCTGAAAAAGTACAAGAGAAGTGCACTTTCCATCGCGAAATCGCTCTACCGGAACTTCAACTTCAACTTTCGATGCATTTCTCATCGTTACTCGTCAAAAGTGAGATGTATCCTTTTTAAACATGTTGCGACCCGTCCAGGAGGTAAACCAGAGGTCGCGATTGAGTCGCCCTCATCAAAAGCTTGCATTTCTTTGATCGTCGTTTTGTGACAAACATGCATTCGAGTCCACATTTATTCTGCATTGTTATGCACGTCACTTGCATTCTCATGCACACCACTCATACTATTGTGCACGTTTCACGGGTGTTGTCATACCCTCATGCTTAACCCGCGTTGTCACGCGCGTTACTCCTCGCATTACGATGCACTTTTCTATCGACGCCACGATTGTCTGCATACAATATCATTTTGAAAATATGTTGTTAACAATGTTGTGCTTGTTGAGTCTATCTCTTTTCAGGGCACGATATTGTATGTACGGTTCATTTGAGGCTAGTACGACCAGACGAACCGTTCAGGTATTGTTTCTTCTCCGTGTGAGACGTGGCGAGAATTGAATAATTCTCCGCATTCTTAACTGTATGAAATGTAGTTGTTGCTTTGCATTCTTGCCTAAAACTGTTGCATCTATTGTGAATATGTGCTTCATTACAGCTTGCTGCATTTGCATGATCATTGAGTTACCTTCGGCTTCTTGCATTGCCAGTTGCATTTTGCCCCCCTTGCCTGAGGGCATACCTGCGGGCACATCTCTGTTTATCTTGTCTATTTGTCTAAGTCTTCGGTCTTGTCAAAAATGGGTCGTCTCTGGGCTTTGACATTCACTCCCGTCACTTATGACTCCCGAGTTCTGTCAAAGAGGGGCAATTGTAGACACCCCATTTTTGACAGACCTTAAGACTCAAACGTCGCTGATTGAGCGCACGGTGATATTGCATATTGTGCTCGTTCAGAAGTTTCAGAGTTTCGGCTGCAAGCCTTGCCTCCGGACCTCCGGACTCTTTTGTGCCTTGCCTCGGTTTGCGAACCAGGCTCTGTTTTCTCTGTTTTCTCTTCCCGAAGGGAGGGAGAGGTCTCGTAGATCATCTCTCAGTGGCCGTAGGCTACGTTTCGTGGTCGTAGGCTATTTTTCCCGTTTGGAGCCCGGTTTCTGGTTTTTTCAGAGCCGACGGCCGTGTGCCTCGATTCGGGACCGCCTAACCACCTCCGTTTGCTCCGGTTTTTGGTATACACCTTATTTCCTCCCTTTTGAGGAACACTGTGGCCCGAGAGACCAACTTCGTGGTCGAATGCCACCTCTGGTGCTTAACAGCCCATTTTCGGGGCCTCGGGCCGCTCGTTTCAGTCCCCTAACCTCTGTTTTGCATCCGTTTTGGTTCATTTTTGGTGGAGGCCTTATTTTCATTGTTAGAAAGCTTGTAGGAGGGTGGGAGGCCAGCAATTGTTCTGATAAGCCAGCTTTATTTCTTCATCGCTCTCCGTCGCCCGTTTTCCTCACTAAAAAGCTAATGTTGACCTCCCCGGGGCCACTTTCTTTAGCCCTAAACCCCATATTTGTGTTGTACACACCTGAGAGGCCACCAATATACATAGGCCGGCCAGTACATGTCCTTGACCCTTTTGAACCCCTCTAAAAAGTTGGCTTTTCTCTCTCTTAGTTCACTTTTTCTGGGTTTTGACCACATATTTGTGTTGTGCACACATGAGAAGCCACCTTTTTGGGGTGGCGGGCCAGCAATTTTCATTGACCCTTTTGACCCCTGGTCGGCCGGCTAGGGGAGGTGGCCGACTGGCCACTTGAACGTCTTCTACCTGGCCGGCCATTCTTCTCTCTTCTGGTACATTACAGTTGTGCCAGCTGTTTTGCAAAAACCCCTGCCCGAGGGTCTGCCCTTTTGGGGGGGAAATTTGAATTGGTTTTCTCTCCTTTTCCTCCACTCCTCCCTCTATAAAACCCGACCCACCAGCTCCATTTTTTAGGGTTACAAATTCTTGTTTAGAGCCTTGCTTACATCTCTCCCTCTCCCTCTCTCCCAAGCCTCAAAACCCTAAAAGCCTTGCAACATTTACACACCAACCCATAGCTCCACACATCCACACTCCATTCTAGCCTTTTGAAGCTGATTTCCAGAGGCTAGGAGCTCCTCTTCTTGGTCCAAAGACTGCTGGTTCATTGCTCTTCAAGGGTAAGCACACTTTTTTCCTAA